ATAACATCAGAATCTTTATTGGTAACATCTTGAGTCTCAATTTCTCCTTCATTTATGTCATCTCCCCAGTCTAGATCAAGGCTTATCAAGTTGTCATAACTCTTATCCTAGCTCCACTTTTTCTCTTCTTCAATCACAACATCCTGACTAACAATGACTTTCTTGCTTATGGGATCGAATAGTCTGTAGCCTTTTGATTATGAACTAACCCTAAACAGTACACAACTTCTGCTCTTATTCTCTAGTTTAGTGTGTTTGGCGTGAATCACATGTACATGTCCTATACAACCAAACACCCTAAAATGTTCTGCATATGGTTTTATCCCACTCCAAGCTTCCATTGGTGTCATGTCCTACACAGAAGAAGTTGGACTTCTGTTAAGCACGTAGAACGCCCAACTCGCAGCTTCAGGCCAAAAACTCTTAGGAATATCAACCATCATACTTCTTACCATGTTCATCACTGTTCTGTTCTTCCTTTCGGCTACTCCGTTTTGTTGCGGCATGTAAGTTGTGGTTAGTTGTCTCTTGATTCCATTATCTTTACAATAATCATTGAAAGCACTTGATGTAAATTCTCCTCCTGACCTGTTCTTAAGAACTTAATAGACAGACTAGACTCTTTTTCAACACTACTCTTAAATTGCTTAAAGGCAGCAAATGCATCAGCTTTATAAGCAAGGAAATAGACCCATGCTTTCCTACTAAAGTCATCAATGAAACAAAGCAAATACCTCTTTTGGCCATTTGAAGCTGGTGAGACGGGTCCGCAGATGTCAGCATGGATTAATTCTAACTTAGTTGAAGCACACCATATGCCTTTTTTTGGAATATTTTCTCTATGTTGTTTTCCTTTCAGACAATATGTGCAAATGGAATCAGGTTCGAGAAGACACGATATCCCTTTCACCATCTCTTTGTCCTTCAACATGCGCAATCCTGTGTAACCGAGATGGCCAAACCTCCGATGCCAAAGCTGTAGCGAATCTTGGGTTGTGGACTGCAGACAAACTTCTTTTGTGTCCTTGTCAGAATACTTATCAGAGAGCACAACGAACATACGGTTGGAGGTCATGTTGCTCTGAAGGATGAGGCCCTTTGTTGAGTGATAAATGCAGCATTTATTATCCTTCATCACCATTGTTAATCCTTTTTCTTGCAGCTGTCCAAGGCTAAGAAGATTATTCCTTAGTTCTGGAACATAGAAGACATCCTGAACAAGATAGTTGTTGCCTCCAAAGTATAGCCTGACAGTACCTTTACCAACCACATTTAACTGCATATGATTCCCTAGCCGCACTGTTCTTTGAAATCCATCTTCCAACCGATTAAATAATGACGGGTCTCCACACATGTGATTACTGCATCCTGAATCTAGAAACCACACATCAGTTTTGCTTTGCCCAAACGATTCATGATAAGCCATAAGCAACATCTCCTCAATTTCTTCAATTTCAGTGTAATTTGCTTGCTTAGCCATATTTGGACACTCATACTGAAAGTGACCCAACTGATGGCACTTATAACATTCAATGGTTGCCTTGCTATAGGGTTGCCGGCCTCTGCCTCCTTTGCCCCTTCCTCCTCTGAAAGCTCTGCGGCTGCCTCGTCCTCTTCCACCATTGTTCTCACCGTATGCCACCGTGAGTGCTTGCTCTTCATCTACTTCCTTCTTGAATTTTTGCTCGTGCACAAGAAGGGAGCTTTGCAGCTCATCGACAGTAAGCTTGTCCATATCATTGGCTTCCTCAATGGAACACACAATATAGTTCCACTTTTCAGTGAGGGTTCTCAAAGTCTTCTTCTCGACGACCTTGACATCAGTCATATCTTCACCGTAATTCCTCATATCGTTTGCAATCATCATTACCCTACCGAAGTAATCATTGATTGATTCTCCTTGCTTCATGGCAAGGATCTCAAACTCTATGCGCAATTGATTGAGTTGGGATCGCTGAACTCGAACATTGCCCTGGTATTTCATCTTCATTGAATTCCAGATTTATTTCGATGTTTCCTTCTTTGGGATTGTCTTCAGAATTGACTTGTCAAGAGATTGAAACAAGTAATTCTTGGCTTTCAGGTCCTTCAACTGCATCTCTTCTGCCGTCTTTCTCTGTGCAGTCGCCGGCACTTCTCCTGCAGCGGGTTGAACGAGGCCTGTGGTCACAACAATCCAATACTCTTTCGAACGGAGAAGGTTCTCCATGAGCATGCTCCAGTGATCATAATCACCATCAAATTTAGGAATTGATGGTAGATTAAAACGATCGCCGCCTTCGGACGCCATCTGCTCTTTCTCTCTTGATTTTTTGTGAAATTTTCTGCTCTTGATACCAGATGTTAGAATCAAATGCTGGAAAACTTACTTAATGGAATAAGAAAAGGCCAATAAATAGGCTTACATAATATCACACGATCTCCCTAACTGTCCATTATATGTGGAACAATTTATTCCTTCCTAAAATTTAGATACTGACTTTGACTGAAACAATAAAATAGCTAACAATAAGCTGACACATTCTAATGTGCTGCAATACTTAATTTAATTAAAAATAAATATCAAAATATTAATCTTCACCAGAAATGCCTTACCTAGAAATAATGAACAATAAACGGTGCCATATTAGTACGAGACAAAAACGATATTTTGGATTTCAAGCAAATCACATTGCATTTTATAAAGAGTGATGCGATCAGAATTTTTGAATTTTAAGTGGTATGGCAATGCAAAGGTCACACACACTTTTTCAAATAAATTTTACAGTTGTGCAGGATCATTTGGCTGTCCAATATAAATAAGCTTTGAAATATATAAATGTACAATAAATTTGAAAATCGCTTAATTAATAATCCAACTCTTAGCCTTTACATTCATAAATTCCAATAGAGATGTGGGTGTGTGTTTTAATTCAGCAATATTAAAAAAAAATTGAAATTTTATAGCTTTATCATCGTAAAGTTTCTATGTTTTATTTTTCAAAAACATTAAAAAAAATTAAAAATATCAATGAAGTAATACTTGTTGGCTCCCCCTTGTCACCATGCTTAGAAGATGACTGAAGTTGTGTGGGAGCTGAAGATAAACTAAGATTAGTTTTCTTGAATCTTACAGTGTACGTCACTGTTCCTCGTTAAGCACAATAAAGGTGATAACCATCCTCTTAAAGGACGTTTGAGTGTTTAGGATAATAAGATGTTGAGGGAACTTTTCATGTGAGAATTGTGAGAGACCACTCCCTTTTCCATTATGAAATTAAAGTATATATAAAAAATTCCTTGTGCTAGAGAGTCAAAAAGATATTGGCTGCGACGAGGCGGGTCATACATAATTTTTACTTCCTTTCAATTCAAACTTGAATTTTTAAACAATTTTCATTCTTCGCCTCATACTTTAATGAGGATGGAGAGTTAAAACTAAAATTCGCCACAAATGATTCGGGTTGAGATCGGATATCCTCGTTCCACTGGTTAAGTATAACAAGTTTGAGTATTGTGGATAATAGTCTCACACTAGTTAGAAATGTGGAGACTTGTATTTATAAGTAGGAGAATTCATACACTTAATGATGCTCATAGACGGTTAATTTTCATAATCAATTCATAACCATAAATAATCCGTATATACCAATTGTTATAACTGGTTATTAAAATCAATTGTCATAACTGATTTTCATTTTTTAAAATGATTATAAACCACTTATTAATCGGTTATATCTATAACCAATTTTATAATTAGTTTTGATTTAATTTTATTTAAAAATTGATTTTTTCAAAAATATAATATTTTTTTTAAAAAAAATATTGATGTTCAAAAAAACAATAGTTTTTTTTTTAATTTTTCTTAAAAAATATATATTTTTTATTTAAAAAAAAATCATTTTTTAAAACTTTTTGAAAAAAAAAATTATTTACTGAAAAAAAAAAGAATTTTATTTTCAAAAGAAAAAATATTTTTTTGAAAGAAATTTTCAAAGTTTTTTTTAATTAAAAAAATTGATTAATTTGATTTTTATTTTGGATATTGATATCCAAATTATAGATTTAATTAAAACCATATTAAAAATATATATAAAATGTGGATTTGGTTAATAATTATACGGTTCTTAATAATCAAACTTAAATATAGATATGAATTATTTAAATAACTGATTTATTTGAGCACTCTAGATGTAATAACTCTTTTGCTCGTGTTTGAAATTTCTTTTTGAAGTGGTGTTGTGTAGAAAATAACAAGGTAGAAAATTATAAGTTAGGCTCCATTTGGCAGTAGTGTCGTCTCTATGGAAGAATAGGAAGGATATAATCATTAATAGTGGTAATTGTATGTTAATGATGATATCTATTGAAAAATTAAGATATTAGCTTAAAAATGGATTTATATTGAAAATATTCCTTATTCTAACTTTAGTTTCAATGCATATTGTTTGGAACTCCTTTAGGTGCTATTGTTAGTTTACTGTTGGTTGTGAATGTCTCTTCTTACATTTTGAGATTTTGGATATAAAGGGTTAGAAAACCTCTTGTATTCTTTTTCAATCTCAATTGATCTAAGTAAAAAATCACTGCAAAAAATTCTTAAATTATTAGTCATTTAACAATTTCAAGGCAACATAAGTAATTTTTTCCCAACACACACTTTCATTTATTGTTATTTCTTTTTATAATTCTTTAAATTTCTTTTTCATCTATAATAAACAATAAACATAAAATAATATTTTCAAATTTACGTATATTTGTTTTTCATATAACAATAATTAAATTTTTTAATTTAAATAAAATATCAAATAGTCTCATAATATAGGACAAATATTAAGTTAATAAAAGACAAGTATAAGTAAAAGTTTCCGATAAAAAATGACTCACTATAACGCTGATGTATCATCAAATCATAATTTACTATTGATCAATTAAAGTGATTTGAACAAAGTAATTCATGTTACTTCATCATAGAAGTCTTCTATAACAAATGATAAATTAGGATACATTGAAATATGAAACTAGGACTCACCATCTGAGTTTTCCCTACATATCTTCGAAAATATACTTACAAAGCCTTCAAAACTAAACAGACTAGAATAAAAACTTTCGCTGTCACCATAAGAATCGTTGTCACAAGAGAATTGTAATGGAGGCCGAAATTCTTTGATTTTTTCACGGCACATCTTCTCCAAGCTTTTCCTATATTCAAAAGACACATAAAAGCATTCTTCCAAGTCAAGAGATTCTAGTACAGGACATCCATTTAATATAGCAAACAATCCATCCTCAGTAGGCATCACTCCAAACATTTTAAGATGAAGTAATCCAGGCATTGTTTCGCCACTAGCAAATAACACACCATTATCAAAATCAGTTGTGTTGCATATCAATGTTTGCAAAAGAGGGCAATATCGACCAACAGCTTTAAGGGAATCCTTTGACAAATAGTCAAAAGAAATGTCAAGACTCTCTAAATATGGCAGTTTCTTAATAGATTCAATAAATCCTTTATCTGAGAGCATTCCACACATTGAGATCCGCATGTGTCGTAGGTGACCAGAGCTGTAAAAATCAACATGAGATATTAAAACGATACTAAGACATAAAGGCAAGGAAAGTATCAAATAAATTACCTGTCAGCTATGTATGCAAGAAGATCATCTGTTGCAAAGTGCTCAATATCTATGGATTCAAGCTGACCACAACTTCGCTCAATTGCATTGCGACAAAACATTTCCAGATTATCTTCAGAAATGCGTGAAATGCAATAATGGGTCATGCTAATGGTTCGCCACATGTGAGGATCCTTGCAGATATTCCACCACGAGGTGCATACGTGACATGCACTAGTCAATAATTCAATCGTCTCTAACCTATGGAGGATGTTTTCTGTCAAATCTCTTGGAAGCTCAACCCAATTTGGCCTAGCTATTACTATTTCCTTTTCTACTTCCATCGATGGAAAAGAAGAAGACGCTAAAATACTGGTGAACTTAGATTCTACTACTAGTGTAACTTATTACCGAATTCTATCCTTTTATAGAGTGGAAAAGCTACTCTACTAGTAATATTTTTGAAGTAAAATGTAGTTTCCGATAGATTTTGAAAAATGATGACTATATTTATTATTTTCATCCTGCATTATTAACTTTTTATCAACTCTAAACTAAACATTTTGAAAAGTGCAATAGCATGAATATAAATAGAACTTGTATGTTTCCGATAATAAAGTAGGAACACGAACTAGTGTATTTCTTTAATTGAAAGATATTTTTGAGTAAAGTAAAAATTAAAATTGTAGTACTAATTTATTGGAAAATGCTCCAGGTTCATCCGAATACTGCACTACAATCAATGTGGAAATATTGTAGCGTATCTATATAATATGTCTTCGAGTAACGTATTGTTAAGTATTTCTATTTTTAACTAGTAAAAAATCCAGTGAATTCGCACATGTCGGATGAATCTAACTAATAAAAAATATATTTATAATTGACGGACTCAACGATATTCAAAATATATTAAAAATATATTAAAATTTGAAACATATTTAAAATCGTAGAATATAATAAAGAAATTTCTTTGGCATGTTTGGCATGTTTGCCATTTGTCAATTAGAATGCATACTATTTTAAAAACAATTAATGTTTGATTATTTTTTAATTATTTAATTTGTTAATTCCCAACTACTCTATTTTTTATTGTTAATTATTAAATAGAATAATTAACTTAGGAGAAAAAAAAAATTAAAAACGGTTCAATTTTTTTTGTTATCTATTATCCATCTTACTTGAGTAGAAATAATCAATGTTTTGTCACGCGTCATTGGATTGTTGTTTTCACCGGAGTTGTGGAGAAACAGGGGGTGTACCTCCAAAACACTTTGATGCTTAAGTGAGTAAAGGATCAGAGAGAAAGCAAACACAGAGATTAGGTGTGAAGAAGAAGTTACCTGACCCTCTAATAAAAGAGGGTATTTATAGTGTGCCCCAAACGCAAGGCCAATAGTTACATTGTATTGGGCCAGACTGTCAGGACTTACGTGACGTAGTGAAGACCAGCATGTAGTCTTCGCTCTGGATCAACTGCCCTGTGATCTTCGGAATGTGGACTGACCAACTTTTTCGGATGTGGGTAGTTGTCTGACGACGTGTCCCCGCGTGGAGGTATAAGTGGAGAACGTGGGGGAAGCGCGTGAACTTCCCCGTCAAAGGAGTCGTCTGCCCGACATATATGTCTTGTTGAGACTCGTGCCCGATAGGAGGGATTAGGTCTTGCTGGGCCTCATCAACATAGTGTTGGGTTGGCCTGCCCGGCTGAAGGGCAGGTTCCGGCCCAGTCCAGAACAATTATTAAAGAAAAACGTTATTTGTGATTTGAGATTTGTCTGTTTATACTAATTGTGATAGACACATACATTGAACTGGCGTTTAGTTTTTTTATCTATTAATTTAAAAAAATTATGTTATTTGAGACTTGGGATGTACATGTTTTTTTTATACTAATTTAAAATTATTATGAAATTAATAAGAAATAATATAATAGAAGAATAGAGACAAGAAGAGAAAGAGATGCAGAGAGTTTGTTATATTATTTTTATTATGAATGAATGATTTAAAATATGAGCTATATAGGACATACTCCTATATAGTAAATAGAAATACTATATAAAATCTTGTAATTGATGGACATTCATAATCATGTCATTTATAACACTCCCCATTGAATATTTGTAATATAATGAAGAAAAAAGAGTACAATATTATTTGTGATAGAACTACTTCGTTACTAGTCAATATAAATTATCATAAATAAGAAACGAAATTATACGGAAACAATAATTCATTATTCATAAATGAGAAGGTTGTTGTTATTGTTTCCTTTTAGTATTTGTTCAATTATATTTTATGGTTTTGTTCTAATTTTTAGTGTTTCTAAATTGATAGGGTGAAAAAATTCAAGCTTCAGTTAGAAAAACTCTGGTCTCAGTATGAAAATAAGACATGTGAGGAAAGTGTGTATAATTTGAAATCTTTGACGTCGCCGCTAATATTGGAGCATATAAGACCACAAAACACCAATCCAGGTTGAATTTGCAGAATGGCACAATGGTTACAGAAGATGGAACTGGTTTGATAACAATCTCTCCTTATTCATTGGTAAAATCATTTAAGAATCATTTTTATTTTAAATTTTGATTATGTTTTTAAAATTTGTATATTCTGGTATTTTTATTTTTATTCAGTTTAATGAAAATGTCTTATTTTTGTAATAGATCTTATGGGAATTTTATCTAGGGTTGGACGTGAAAGGGTCTATGAAAAGAATCGTCTAACTACTAAGTTTAAAGTGATTGAGTTAAAGTCTAATGGGTAAGCTAATTTATATGATATAAACCTTTTAAGTTTATATGTTAGTTTAACTTATATTAACTGATTTCATATTGTTTTTTTCGTGTAGAATGAAGCTTGAATGCACACTCTTTGGACCATATGTTGATGACTATGATGCATTAGGGGTGACAAAATGGATGGATTGGATGGATATGGATTGGATTGCTAATGGATGGATTAAAACAATCTATTAGTCCATTAAAATCCACTAAAATTTTATTAAAATTATCCAATCCGATCCATCCATTAAAAATAAAATTCATCCAATCCATCCATTAACATATTTTTAATGGATGGATATCCATCCATTAACATATTTTTAATGGATGGATATCCATCCATCCAACTTTTTTTTTAATTTCGTAAAAATAAATATTTTTTTTTTCAAAAACAAATTAATTTTTTATTCTGAAAAAAAAAACCGATTTTTTTTCGAGAAAATTTTTATTTTTTTACGAAAAACAAATCAGTTTTTTATTCTGAAAAAAAAAAGTCGGTTTTTTTTTCGAAATTTTTTTTTTCGAAAAACAAATCAGTTTTTTATTCTGAAAAAAAACCGATTTTTTTCAAAAAAAAATTGATTTTTTTCCAAAAAAAAAGTCAGTTTTTTTTCGAGAAAAAAATTTATTTTTTTTTCGAAAAACAAATCAGTTTTTTATTCTGAAAAAAAACCGATTTTTTCCAAAAAAAAGGTCGGCTTTTTTTTTCGAGAAAAAAATTTTTTTTTTTTTCGAAAAACAAATCAGTTTTTTATTCTTAAAAAAAAAACTGATTTTTTTCCAAAAAAAAAAGTCGGTTTTTTTTTTCGAAAAACAAATCAGTTTTTTGTTCTGAAAAAAAAAACAGATTTTTTTTCAAAAAAATTAATTTTTTTTTTCAGAAAAAAAATATAGTTTTTTAATTATTTTTAAAAAAATCTAATTTTAAAAAAATAAATCTAACGAAAATAAAAATAATTCATTGGATCCTTAAAATATGTTGAATGGATTGAATCAATCCATGCATATAAATGGATGGATTGAATCCATCCATGCATATAAATGGATGAATTTAATTCAATTCATTAACTTATTTTTTTTGTGGTGGATGGATTGGATGGATTTTTTTATGGATGGATTGGATGGATTTTGCCTTAATGGATTTAATTGTCACCTCTATGATGCATACCTCCAACCGGGCTACACAAGAAATGTTGTTGTGCTTGCTTAGTATTTGAAAGTCGAAAATGTATAATGGAAAAGTCCAATTGCAAAATGCAATGAATTGTTCAACCCAGAAATACCTGAGGCAAATAGTTTCAAACTCAAGTAAGTAGTCACTAACTATTCGTTTAGTTTAGTTTTATGATGTTTTTTCATTCATTATTGATAACTACTTTTATTTATTTCTTATCAGTGATAAAATTGGATCACCCACGCAACCATTTAGTCATATGAAGGATGCTTCTGAGTTGAGTTTATAAAAAGAGTTCTTGAATTTGAGTCAATGCAAACAAAATTGAGGAACTAAAAGACTATCAAAATGTAATCTAAATTAGATTTCTATTTCATACATATTTTAAATCACATGCCTTATTTTTTTTGGGTTTGTTTAACATTGTCATTCCTTTTATATATGCGTAGAACATGGTTTGTGTTGTGTTAGGCACAATCAAACATGTTATTTTTGGCAATGATTAGTGGTACGTTGCATGTGTCTGTGTCGGCGGCGCGATAAAATAACCATGAGTGCTTGCATGCTTGTGATTAAAGAGTCTCCATCGATTTTTTTATTCAAAAAAAGAAGAGAAAATATTGATAAAATCCTTTAAAAAAAAAGAAAATGGTCATCACAGCCAAAAAAAAAAAGAGAAAATATTGAGTTGAAGATGTCCTATTCCTGACAAGAGCCCATGGTTCTAAAGGAGGAACTCACCTTGATCTTCATGTCTAAAGCAGAGGAGCTGAGAATCTCTTGAGCAAAGCACAACAAACAGAAGACGCTTGGAAGCACAAGTATCAAGTGGTTGTCGAGGAGAATGCAGAACTCCAGAAACAGATGCAAATGAAGAATGAAGAAGTGCTCTCTTGTAAGAAGAGGAGAGCATCAGAGGATTTATTTTCATCTAGCCTTCAGTCAACTCCGTGGAATTTAATTGTGGATAAGCTTATTCTCGAGAAGGCTCAGATGGAAGAAGAGATCAAGAAGTTCAACATGAGGCTGCTAGGAGAATCTCTTTAGGACTTTTGCTAGCTTTTATTTAGCTTTCTTTTTAAGACCTTTGTAAGAAGTACTGATATGTCGTAATTTAATATGTTGGTTAATGAAAATGAGTTTTTTTTTGTATCTCTTGATGTTTGTAAATATTCGAGTTTCATGAAACTTTTTGCATCACATGTGCATGTCGTTACATTTGCATTTCTCAACCATTGGGTCTCATCTTCCACCTCTTGTATCTAGAAGGATACCTAGCACGCATTCTGGAAAAATGGCAACGATGAACGAGCTTTTGAAAGCTCAAGAAGCCTTGATTAAATTTTACACGGTTTAAAAAAAACGGTTTGAAGCATCAGAGCACAATCAA